CATGTCTAAGTTGTACTTGTCAAATCTTTTGTTCACAGCAATGAAAAAAATAACTAAAGTACTACCCTGTCCCCAGTGACCAGAATCCAGGAACTGCCATACAGACAGAACCAGTGGCCTATTAAATTAACATAGCTTGTGACATTGATACCCACCTGCATCACTACAGACAGATATGTTTTCATTTAAAAGGAAGGTGCTTGGTATTCTGTGTCTTGGCCGTAAGGTTGGAATCTCACAGGGGAGCTATCTGGCTGAGGTGAATCACAGGAAACTTTTTGACAGAAGCACCCCTCAAACATGTGCTTATTCTACCATTAGTACTTCTTTTAGGTATTTTTCACAGAAGGGCTTGAGACAAAATTACCAGCCTCAAATTCCTGCCTCTCTTCTTCCTTGATGCTTATATACTTCAGATTATGATCTTCTCTCTAGAGGGCTCATATCAGAATTTTCAGATTGACTGTCCCAAAAGTCATAATGACCATTTTCTCAGTCAGACTCATCCAGAATCTACCCTTGGTGGCCCAGCATCTATTCTTCATGCCCCAAACCTTCCCAAGCAGTTCCTGCCATTTAATTCACCACTAATGACCCGCAAGACTGTCTCTCCAATTGTTTTTTTTTTTCTTTTCTTTTCTTTTCTTTTTTTTTTTTTTCTTTCATGGTACTGGGGATTGAACCCAGGAACACTTAACCACTGAGCTACATCCACAGCCCTTTTTTCTTTTTTTCTTTCTTTGAGACCAGGCCTGACTAAATCACTGAGGCTGGCTTTGAACTTGCAATCCTCCTGCCTCAGCTTCCCAAGCCACTGGGTTTATAGGCTTGCACTACCATACCCGGCTGCAGTCTTTTCTTAAACTCCATGTCCAGGCATGTTCACACAGTGTTTCTCAAACACTTGGGAGTTCCCAAACTGAATTTCCTATCTCGCCTCTCTGCTGCCCCAGACCACATCCCAAGTGCCGACAAGTCATTGACAGTCTGGGAGTCACACACACAATCATGTCTTCATTCCTCCTAATGCCTCCCAAGTCTGTCTTCCTTCTGCACTCACCCTCACTAACAGTAGACGACAGTAGATTATCACTGTCTTCTCTTTGCAAGACAGTTACAAAAGCCCCAAAGAGTAATCCTGGGTCCAGTATCTCACTTCTTCAAATCCCCCTTTGTTTGCTGCCAGAATGACTTTTCTAATCTGCAAAGCAGAGCATATTTTTCCTTTAATAAAACTTCTCATACTCCTCCCTTAAGAACTCCTACTGCAAAGAGAATAAAACAGGTGGTTTGGGAAGGGTCAGGAGATCAGGATCCGGAAAGCCCCACCCACAGCCTGAAGTTTCTTTTTAAGTCATTGCTGGTTTTTTTTTTAATCCTAGTCTGGCAATTCTCTGTTCTATTCTATGTAATGCATGATTTTTGTTGTTGTTTTAAATGAAAATCCCGTTTCCCCAAATAATCAAGCACAATTGATCTGTAGAAAGGTACTTGTTTATTCTGTCTCATCAGAAAAACCTAAGGCCCTCCAGTTTGAGAAGATAGGATCCTAGTTGAAATCCACATTACTTTGCATATGTTACAAGGACTTTCTTGACAGATGCCTGTTTGTCCCTGCAGCTTCAGCCCTCTAGCAAGCTTCCTAAAGTCCAGTTACACTGAACCCCTGACAATTCTGTGACTATCATACTGAGACATTCAGGAACCACCTTAGTGGAACAGAGGCTGAGACAGTGAAATAAACCCCCAAGTGTATTGAACTGTTACCCTTTGTGGTGTGACATGTTGCTTCTCTGTCCCTGTATTCTTCTCATGAGACCCTTCTCATGAGATCCAGATTCTGGATGAGTCTGACTGAGAAAGCATGAGTCACTGAAGCAGACTATTTACACATGATGAAATTGTTACCAGGGAAACCCTAAATAAACCCGCTAGCTTTACTTGTTCTTAGTTAACTTAAAAATCTAATTTTGGAAGTCATGTAGCTGGACAATACATTGTTAGTTTCTTACTAGCTTTACTGTACATAACACCTCTGATGTGTGAGTTAGGATGGTAATGGTTGCCTAGGTTACTTTTCAGGGACTTGAAACTGGAAACACTGACTCTTGGGTTTGCAGGTGTCTGATGAGTGACTAGAATGAGATCTCTGTCTTCATATTATGTCTGTTCCCTTTGCTGTCTTAATAGTTAAGGTCAGGTTCTACTTGGCTCTACCTGTTGACATTTTTGCTTGCCCATTTAAAACTGGTATGTGTTTTCTTGTCCTTCAGCCCTACCATTAGGCCCAGATGAAGCTACAAGACACAGGATGATGGTAGCAGCTACAAGAGTAACTCAGCAGTTCCTAGAACAAGTTGACGGCTTGCCTATCTCATGCAAGAAGAAATATCTTCTGGAACTGTGCTCCTGGCCAGTAGAAAATTACCAAGCTCTGGCCCATCCCAGCAAATCCATAGAAACTCACATGTCCCTTTTTTCAGGTAGCAGCCTCGTCCCTTGATCAGTGCTATCTCCCTCTAGCTGAAGCCCCAGTTACTTGCTTTGGCTGAAGCGCAAATAAAGCCTTGCCTGTATGTTCATGCTCACTTGACTTGATTTTGTTTCTATCACCAAGTCAAAAGCTCCCGACTCCAATATTGGAAACAATGCTATTTCAAGATGTTTGCTTCTGCTGTCTTCTCAAACAAGAATGCACTCCTTTTCCCATCTATCTATTTATCTTCTAAACCCAGCTCAAGTATCATCTTGCCTTGTGAATTTTACCACAACAAACCCCGGCAGGCTGAGTTAGCCATCCCTCCCTTTATACCACCTAAGTCCAGATCCCTCCCTTGACATGCACCTCACTAGGTCATGATGTGTTGTTCACAGTACTCACTGGACTTTGCAATGCTTCAGGAAAGGGTCTGTGTCTTATGCATCTTGGCCTTCCCAAGACCAGTTCCATGTGAGATACATGGTGAAATGGGAGGTCCTATGGCTATGATATACTGTTCATTTGGGTTGATTTGGCTGATCTGGATGATTGTGGGGATATTCCTCTGTCTCTCCATACTCTTTTAGTGTCCCTCTGTCAAATAAGAGGAACTCAGACCAGCAAGGATACTCCAGTCAAGTATGTGTCAGGAGCTCTCCCCCAACCAATGAGCCCTCCAAGTATGTGTTGAGCCCTCCAGACCAGACACACAGTAGGTACGCAATAAACATCTACCAGACATTTGGGGTTTTGTTCATTTTTGTTTTGGATTGTGTGTGTATGTGTGTGAGTGTCTGTGTTTTGTTTGTTTGTTTGCAGTACTGGGCATTGAACTTAAAGGCTCCACTCATGCTAGGCAAACACTCTACCACTGAGCTACCTTCTCAGCCACTCTGCTAGACATTTGAATGAACCAATGATCAGCACCAATGTTCTCTCAGGTTACGCCCCCTTATCTTTTTTCAACATTACAAAGAATCTAGAAATCTCTGAATCCTCACAACCCAATTGAGTGTCAACATAATGCACTCAATAAATGCATAATAAATAAATGAGTGAACAAAAGAACTAATATCTTCATGTTCATTCCAAAGCTTCTTAAAAAGTACATGCACCCATTTTACCTTTTCACTTTGATACCAGGTGTTTTCCAGCATACCAAGGAACTGGTTTTCCACTCAGGAATGGAATTTGACAAATCAGTGATGGTTGAAACTTTTTTTGAAAACTTTATTTGATACTGATGTTATATTCTAAAATTTCAGACTTATGTTTCGAAATTTTGATCTCTTACAGGAGAAGATATTTTGGGGGGCTTTGATCTCTACCATGTCTAATATGATTTAATGGACATGAAACTGTTGTCCCCAAGGCAAGGACAACCCTGCTTCTAGGTATATATGCTCAGTAAAATATGAATTTGAGGGGCTGGGGTTGTGGATCAGTGGTAGATCACTTGCTTGGCACATATGAGGCACTGGGTTCCATTTTCAGCACCACATAAAAATAAATAAAATAAAGATATTGTGTCTATCTACAGCTAAAAAAAATTTAAAAACATGACTTTGAAGTGTGGTACTACTCTGAAGCATTTTGCTAGAACTAAGTGAAGGTGCTGGTATTCTACCTAGCCCACTGGGAGTGCTCAAAGGATGTCTTGCTCCTCACTTATTCATTCTCACCCAGCCCTGATCATGGAATATAAGATCTGATGCCTCTGAAATTTCAGAGTAATGCTGTTTTAGTGGAGAGCAATGAGAACTTTCTAGGACCGCCATTTAGTTATAGCCTGGATGCTGAAACTAACAGGATGCACTTTTTTTTTTTTTTTGGTCTGGACATAAACCAAGTAGATAGAAACTTCAGCCTGGGATTGTCCTCATAAACCAAGTAGATAGAAACTTCAGACTGGGATTGTCCTTCCTAAATTCTAGAGCAATGGTCTCTTTTATTTACTTGTTTTTTCTTCTGGTGTTGAAGACCAAACTCAGGGCCTCACATGTACCAGGCAAGTGCTCTTACCACTGAGCTCTACCTCAGCTGTGTATGTTTTAATTGCATACTTCTACCAGTAAAAAGGTTCTGATCCAGTAACCTCAATATATGCATGATTATTTGTTTATAAATTGTATACATGTATTACCCTAGTAATGGATTTTTATGTTTTCATAAAATCCATCAAAATGGAAATTTAAAGGATGATTTAGAAGTGAATAGATATAGAAGATCTCATATTTTCTCCTCTGACCTCAGTGGATTGTCATAATTGGCGCACTGGTTGAAAGGACTCACAACAGCTTCTAGAAGGCTTGGTGGGAACAAGAATCTCCAATGTCAACTCACTAAATAGGCCAGGTTCTAAATCACCCATTGGCTCACTCCTTTCCACAAATCATTTCAAAAGCAATTGGCTTTACTTTTATGAAAAAAAATGATAATTCAATGAATGATGATTTAAAAAGCTTTATTTCCAATGGAAGCAGCTTTTTATGGTCATGCTAAATGCTATAATTCATTCCAATTGAAAGAGCTAGGCTGCTGATTACATCACCGGATAAGGAGACAAGCAATGAAGCGGCAGTGTGTCCTTGAAGCACGTCAGAATGGGCTGGAATATAAGGGAAAGGAGGGCTTTATCTTGCAGGTTAAAATGCTGAACAACTTAATTTTCCTTTTCACCAAATCATCAGTCATCTGCACGGCACTTTAAAATATGTTTAAGATTTGTGATAATAACAAGTGCTGCAGTGACACTCAGTATGGTTCTCCACTCTGGCATGTCCCATTACCGTGGCCTGAAGGGAAAGCAAAGAGGAGAGACAGACAATAAACCAGGATAAATAGGCAAAATTGGAAAATGTTAAATTGTAGCCAACTGAAGTAAATAGATAATGTTTGCATATTCTCCATTTCAGGATATATTTTCATTCTAAAAGGTCGAGTTCACATCATGTAGTAGGCTACAATTTCTCCCAACCTGTTCCCTGTCATCCACACCCTGTTCTCATTCTGAATAAATCCAGCCCATATCCACAAGGCAAATGATGTCTTTCTTTTTTCCTTCATTCCTTCCTTCCTCCTTTCTCCCTCCCTCTACATTTTTTTCCTTTCTTTTCTTCCTTCCAATGTTGGGGATCCAACTTTGCGCCTTGTGCATGCTAGACAAGCACTGTGACACTGAGCTACCTCCCTAACCCCTGTCCCACCCCCCCAAGAAAAGCCCACCAATTTATTTTATTTACTTATTTATTTTTCAGTAGCAAGGATTAAACCCAGGGCCTCATGCATACTAGGCAAGCAGTCTCCCAATGTACTACATCCCAGCCCACTGACTATTTTTTTTAACTTTTAACTTTTTTCTTAGCATAATAAATATTGCAGGTATTGATGGGTTACAATATGATAACTTGACATATGTACAATGTGTAATGATCATGTCCAGGTAACAGCATTTTCATCTTTTTAAACACTTGTCATTTTTTTGGTGTAGAAAAACTTTAATTCTTTTCTTCTAGTTCTCTATAAAAATATAACAAATTGTTGTGAACTATGGTCATCCTACTGTGCTGTAGAATGAAAGGATTTACTCTTCCTGTGTAACTATATTTTATTACCTAATATCCAACCTCCTCACACCTTTCTTAGCCTTTGGAGGCTACTATTCTACTCTCTACTTTTATGAAACCAACCTTCTTAAATTAGCTGACTTTTAAGTAAAGGGTACAAATGCAACCCCTGACTACAAATGACCAAGAAAAGATAGGTCATTAGATACCTTCAGCATTAAATGCCATGGATATGCTCTATAGTATGACTCTGGTAGGCTATTAAAACTTTTCTAATGCCCTTGAAGTTCTTACCTTGGTAAATGCTTTGGCCACACAACATGTGGCCTCCGAGGTGATATTCTTTGGTACCAGCATCGTTTTCTTGGATCTTGCTGGAGTGGGGTATGCCCGAGAGAAGCAGCAGCCCATGCACTGATAAATGGGAGCACCCAGCTTGGAGAAATATTTGTTTTCTTTTAGCTTACATTCTGGGCAACCTATCAGACAAAACAAAACAAAACAAAACAAGAAGTCAAATAATCCAAAAAGTATTTGAAGAGAAACTATGAATTTTTCCTTATTATGGGATAGCAAATATTCTTTTTTTCCATGGAGAAGAATAGATAATTAAGTAAATACTTTTGGCTGTATGCTGGTTTTCATATATAATATATATTTATACTGATTAGAGTTATCTTCCCAGGAAAACAATTTTTGCAGAGCTGCATGGGAAATTTTAGTTGTAGTGGTTTCTCTCTCTTCAAGCATGGAATCTTTATCCTAAAGCTAATAGTATGCTTAGAGCGAGCATAAAACTTGACAGATGAAAATGCTATGTTTATCCGAAAGGAGAGTTTTGCCCAGAGGCAAAATATTTTCCCCTTTAGAATCTGCTATTGTTTTTTTCCCTGTAGAAACTCCAAATACTGACAGAGAAAAATATGTCAGAATTAAGACAGCTTGGTGAGTGTAGATAGAGAGCCTGATATTACAACAAGCATCTGCACTTGGGACCAAGGATTAAAATATTACCATTCATCTAGAGAAAAAACATAACCTGCAGTAGCTTACAATTTCAAAGCTGATGGAATTATATCAGCCACTATATGAGATTCTCAAACAATACAGCCAAATTTACTGCATAAAATGGTTTTGTTAACTGATGTGAAAATTCATCCACAGAGGCAACGTTAAAATCTTCTCCTCAAATCTTCTGGGAGAAAGGGAAGGGTGGGCGACTGAGCTAACTGAGAGCATTTTCTTCTTGTAAAACCCAGATAAAGAATAATAAGAAATCTATTTCAAATGAAAATGTACAGGCTGCTATTTAAGTGGATGTGTAAGATATCATTTTCACTGTACATTTTCTGAACCTAATTTGATTTTATGTTCACTGTCTACAAGTGCCTTGATATGTATCCAGCAGTGAAGATTTATCACATTTGAAAAGGAGGTAGAAATGTGATTAATGGAGTTATTGATGTACATCTAGAAATGCACGTTGTCCTTATTACTTCAAACACAAGTTTGGTCACGTACCCTGCATTGCAAACTCTCCATCAGGAAAGGAATGGAGAATATGCAGAAACACAGACAATGTGGCCAGAATGACAGCTGCATATTTTCTGTAATAATCCATGGCTCTTCTGAAATAAAGACATGACAAAATCATCATCTTCATTATCACCATCATCGTCATATCATCATCATCATCATCATCATCATCATCTCATCTTGGCTTACCAGCTGCAACAACAATCATCAGTTTTAACCTTATTATTTATATAGTCACCGAAGGATGTTGCTTTCAGCTTCCAACATACTCTAAAGCCTCATAAACAACAAAAAAAGCAAATATTCCTTTTTTATTTTTAATAGTTGTAGATAGACAGCATACCTTTATTTTATTTATTTATTTTTTAATGTGGTGCTGAAGATCAAACCCAGTGCCTCACACATGCTAGGCAAGCACTCTGCCACTGAGCTACAGCCCCAGCTTGCAAGTAATCAGGAAAGAGATAGGAAACTGAATCTTTCCATTTCTCACATAAACAAGTAAATGGGGCTTAATAATAACAACAACAATAAATTCTCTTTTAAAATATGCCATCCCTTGGGCTGGGATTGTGGCTCAGTGGTAGAGCACGAAGTGGTAGAGTGTGAGGCACTGAGTTTGATCCTCAGCACCACAAAAAAATAAGAAGAATAAAAGTATTGTGTTCATCTACAACTAAAAATATTTTTAAATAAAATTAAATATGCCATCTCTTTAAGAAGCCTCAGTGTCCTCATTTGCAAAACAGAACTTAAACTAGATGATATCTAAGACAATATATACATCTATATAAACTTGCATATGATATATAAAATATTCAAGCATTTGAACCTATCCTTCCCATTTCTATATCCCCAAAGTGGAGAATTGGGGGTGGGGGGAGTGTTAGTCCCTCCTGCGTTTTATTCACTGATGGCAGGTGATCTGTAAGTCTCATCAATGACTAGATACCAACCTAGCTGTATGGCAAGGGCAGACAATAGAGAGTGTTAATCAAAGTTTTCTATTTAGAGCTGGGTGCAGTGGTGCACGCCTATAATCCAGCAACTTGGGAGGCTGAAGCAAGAGGTTAGAAAATTCAAAGTCAGCCTGGACAATTTAAAAAGACCTTGCCTCAAAATAAAATAAAAAAGGAAAAGGGTCTAGAGACTTAGCTCAGAAGTAGAAGCCTTCTGGGTTAAATTCCCAGTACTGGGGGGAAAAAAAAAAAAGCACTCCTTGCCTTACACCTGTCGACCAGTTTTACCCAAGGATTCTGAGTGCATGAAGCAGGCTATCCAAGTCAGCTAAGGTATTGACCATATCCAGGCATTGACCTCACTGCCCCTGAAAATAAGGAGACAGAAAATTGGATTTTATCCCAAAATGTCTAGGGAACATCTCATGTGAGAGCAAAGGGGTGATTTTTTTTATCCGTGTGTTTAAGTGAAAGTGTTATGGATTATTCATGTCCAAACCATGAGAGATAAGAGGCAGAGTCATTTACTAACTAAAAAAAAAATTCAGAACATTTAAAGGCAAAAACAACACCAATTACAGTAGAAAATAGAAGAGGAAAGAACAGTTCCCAACTCATTTAATGAGGCAAGGATTAACCTGACACCAAAACCAAAGACAGTATAAAGAAAGAAAACTATAAACTTAGTAGAAACAGTATCTCTCATGAAATGAAATGAAATGCAAAAATCCCAAACAAAATATTAGTGAACTGAATCCAGCTATGTATAAAAGGAATTAGACCAACATGACCAACTGGGAATAGTCAAAGCATGCAAGGCTGATTCGGTATTTGAAAGTATAATCCACCATATCAACAGGATAAAGAAAAAAAAAGTATGATTATTTCAACTGACCCAGTTAAAACATTTGACTATTTCTAATACTCTCATGGAAAAAAATTTCAGTAGAGGCCAGGGGTATAGCTCAGTGGTAAAGTGCATGCATGGCTCTGGGTTCAATCAGCAGCATCCAAAAAAAAAAAAAAAAAAAAAAATTCCAGAAAATCAGAATTAAAGGATTTTTCTCAACTTGATGACTAACATTTACAAAAAATCTATAGCTAACATCATACTTAATGTTGGGGGAAAAAAACTGCTTTCCCCCTAAGATTGTGAACATGGCAAGATATCCACTCTCACTTCTTATTCAACATGGTATTGAAAATTCTAGGCAGTAAAATTGAGCAAGAAAATTAAATTAAAAGCATACAGATAAGAAATAAAATTATCCATACTCATAAATGACATGCTTATCCATGTTTTAAAAAAATGAAACTCCAAGGAACCTATGAAAAAACTTCCTGGAACTAGTTAGTGAGTTCAACATCATATGACACAGATCAATATATAAAACTCCACTGCATTTCTATACACAAAAAAATTGTGGAAATAAATTTAAAATACCATACCATTTACAACTTACCAATACATCAAACAAAATACATCAGGACTTGTATGCTGAAAATTACAAAATTCTGATGAAATAAATCAAAAGACCTAATGGGAAAACATCATTTTCATGGATTGAAAAAGTCAACATAGTTGAGATGCCAATTCTCACCAAATTAACCTGTGCCTTTAAATGAAATGCTATCAAAATCCCAACATTGGATCTGGGAATGTGGCTCAGTGGTAGAACACTTGGTCCAGTATGCATGAGGCTCTGGGTTTAATCCTAGAACTGAAAGGAAAAAGTTCCCAGAATAGTTTTCATAGATATAACTAAGATTATTATTATTACTTGATAATAATATTGAAAGGCAAGGGATATAGAATAGCTAAAACTATTTTTAAAAGTGAAAACAATCACTGTTTTCAGTGTAAAGACTTCTCAGGAATGCAAGTATAGCTGAGTGATAAGAGTGCTTGTTTGCCTAGCAAGTGTGAGGCCCTGGATTTGATCCCCAGCACTGCACAAATAAATAGATAAATAAATAAATTGGACACATTATATAGCTAAAGTAATCAAAGCAGAATGATTTTGGCAAAGGGATAGATACATAGACCAATAGGGCAAAGAAGAGAACTCAGAAAGAGACCTACGTAAATATACATATGCCCAGCTGGATGGATATATATATATATATATATATATATATATATATATATATATAGTTGTAGATGGACACAATATTTTTATTTTTATTTGTTTATTTTTATGTGCTGCTGAGGATCTATCACTGAGCTACAACCCAGCCCCCCAGCTGGTTTTTGACAAAAACAACAAACAACTAAGTATTTCAACCTTTTCAACAACTGCTGCTAGAGCTGCTATGTATACACAAAAGGAAAAAGAAGAAGATGAAGAAAACTTAAGCTAAACCTCACACTATATATAAAAACTAGAGCAAAATGGATCAGGACCTAGGGCTGAGTGAAGAGAGAGTTTTTATTTTTTATTTTTTTTTTTTAAAGAGAGAGGGGGGAGAGAGAGAGAGAGAGAGAGAGAGAGAGAGAGAGAGAGAGAGAGAGAGAGAGAGAATTTTAATATTTATCCTTTTAGTTATCGGCGGACACAACATCCTTGTATGTGGTGCTGAGGATCGAACCCGGGCCGCACGCATGCCAGGCGAGCGCGCTACCGCTTGAGCCACATCCCCAGCCCCAAGAGAGAGTTTTTAGATTTGGCAGCAAAATATGACCCAACCCATAGAAGGGAAAAATGACAAATTGTACTTCATCCAAATTAGGAGTTAATCCTCTTTTAAAAGGAAGAAAATACAAGTCACAGTCTTGGAGTAAACATTTCTAAGCCACATATCCAACAAAGGAGTAGAATCTAAATCATATAAAGAACTCCTGAAACTTAGTAGAAAAAAAAATATCCAGTTAAAAAATGAATATTGTGCTGGGCACAATGGTGTATGCCCATAATCCCACCAGCTCAGTAGGCTGAGGCAGGAGGATTGTGAGTTCAAAGCCAGCTTCAGCAATTTATAGAGGCCCTAACCAACTCAGTGAGATCTTGTCTCTAAATAAAATATTAAAAAGGGGTGAGTTATGTGGCTCAGTGGTTAAGTGCCTCTGTGTTCAATCCTCAATTCAAAAAAAAAAAAAGAACGCAATAAAGAGGATTTATAGATGAAAAACTAAGCATACACGTTCAGCATTTTCATCCAATAAGGAAATGCAAATTAAAACTGTAATTATCAGAGTGGCTAAAATTAAAAATATAACACCAAATGCTGGCATGGATACAGAGAAATAGGATAACTCAGACATTGCTGATAGGAATGTGAAATGTTACAACTACTCTAGAAAACAGTTTGACAGTTTCTCATAAAACCAAACAGATACTTGCCTTATGACTCAACAGCTACACTCTTTTGGCATTTATCTCAGAGAAATGAAAAATGTGTTCCTACAAAACTTGTGTATAGATGTTCATAAAAACTATTTCTAATAGCCTAAAACTGAACACAACACATAAATGCCCTTTAAGAGATGAATGGTTATACAAACAATGGCACATCCATACCATGGAATAATAGACAGCAACATAAAAGATACACACCACAGCTTGCATGGACCTCAAGGGAAGTATGCTGAGTGGAGGTTGCATGCTATAGAGTTCCATTTATATAATGCTGTTGAAAAATAGATTAGCAGTTTGAAGAAGTTAATGTAGGAAAGAAGTTGAGGGAGTCTTGTGGTGATGGAACAATGTGCATCTTTATTGTAACATCAATCACACTAGTCTATACAAGGGACAAAATTGCATAGAACTATACACACACACACACACACACACACACACACACAAACACACACATGAGCGCGTGATACTAGGAAAACCTGAATAAGCTCTATGGTTTGTAGCACTGTCAATTTTCCGGATTCACATTGTACTATAATTACATAAAATAATTATTATTGGTAGAAATTGGCTGCAGGGTATATGGACCTCCCTATATATTTTTAAATTTTTTTTGCAATTTCCTTTAAATCTATAATTATTCAAATTTAAAAGCTTTTTTATGTTTTAATGCATTTGAGATCACATAAGATGTCAGGCACAGTGGCATACATCTGTCATCCCAACTACTCAGGAGGCTGAAATGAGATCACAAGTTCAAGGCCAGCCTG